TGATTAATGAGAAAGGCAACGAAGTCAATTACCTTTAAACAGGAAAATTAATACATTAGGGACCTCTTATGCAAAAAAAGAAAACTTTGATGACCAATTCATACAAACCCGAAACTTAGTTGCGCTACAATGTCATTTTCCCAAGAGAAATTAAGTTTCTGAGTTAATTAGAGGTTGAATGACACAATGTAGCTTTTCCACCAAACATGTTATGGTCTTAACCTCTTTTTATGGTTGTTTCATAAGGTGTCCGTTAAAATTTAGTTGTATCCATAAATAATTGTGTTAGGTGTGTGTTAAGTAGAAGTCAGTTGTATTCATAAAGATTCATGTTATGTAGCCGGCAGGTAGAATAATAAATGACTCAATGTAGCTTTTGGTATGAATCATGTTATGGTCTTAACATCTTTATATGATGGTTTGATATGGTGTTTGGTAAGAGTTAGTTGTATTCATTAGAACGGTGTTATGTGAGTGTTAAGTAGAAGTTGGTTGTGTTTATAGAGAGTCGTGTTAGGTAGGAGTTTGGATGTATGCATAAAGAGCGATATTCGGTGGGTGGCGCGGGCGATAGGTAGGAGTTAGGTGATTTCATAAATGGAATTGCGAACCTTTGGACCATTTTACATATCAGGATATTATGTTAAATAGGTGATAGGTAGAAGTTAGGTGATTTCATAAAAAAGATTCAAAAAATTGATTGGATTTAAGGCAACACAATGCTCCTGAACAAGATGTTGTTTTGAGAGTTGCATGTGGTCCGGGGCGGCTGGGCCTTCCAGAGGATTGGGTTGACCAGCCAAAGCCTAGCTCTGGCTATCGGGTATGTTGAATGGGATAGGCAGGCCTTTGTGAACCTTTGTTTTGAACATTAGATTATATTTCTTCTAATGTGATCGTATTGAGTTTCAAAGTCAACACATCTTAACGTATCAATTTTTTAAATTTCTTACATCATCATCAAAAAATCAAAGCTTGTGGAATCCTAGAAATTTTGAAGATACAAATTTATAAATTGGTAGCCAATGGCTATTTATTAAAAAAAAAAAAAATCAGCCTCATATAATTCAACCCCGCTAAAAATAAATAAAAATAAAAAATATGCCAATGGTGGTCTCTATTTATACATCAGTTTTTTTTCTGACTTTTGGTATATTATGTTTTTTATTTGGTAATAAAGCAAAATTTGTGATTTATAAAATTTGGTTAAAAATAAAAATAGAACTAACTGCATGCCGGCCCTTGGGATAAACAAACCGAATGTTGTTCAGTTAGGCTACTATGTTCATGCTTGATTTTTCACCATATTTATCATTAAAACCTTTTGTATAACGTGTGACCCGTTCAATGAGAGTAATCACAACGACATTGCTAAGGGCGGTGTTCGGTAGGAAGTTGGATTTTGTATGGTTTCAAATCGGAGCAAGACGGTGTGGTATATGACCATGAGAAAGAACAAATGCCATCAAGATAAATATCTCCATCTATTATAGCCATTTTCAGATGGTTATTTGCATCCGTCGTGCATTGTGGCTTTTATGGGTTTCGAATCTCACCTCCATCTTTTGTAGCCATTGTTAGAATTTGAAGGTCGTGAAATAATCTGAATATAAATGAAATGATCCCATCTTTTCTATCGATCAAGAATCACACCTCCATCTTTTGTAGCCATTGTTAGAATTTGAAGGTCGTGAAATAATCTGAATATAAATGAAATGATCCCATCTTTTCTATCGATCAAGAACCACACATAATTTTAGTACGCAATGAAGATCAAACGAATAACACTAATACTTTGGATTTTTGGATAGGCTGCTAATGGACCAATTTCCTTTGGTTACCAAGAACCACATTATAGAGATGGATAATGAAGGTCAAAGACTTACCTATATTTAGACCATCCCAATGGAGTTTTCATGGAGGGTTTAATGGGTAAAAGATGATGACGTGACTTTGAATATAAAGGAAATAGCATGGTGGTTTGAGTTTAAGAGCATAGAGTGTGGGCAACTAGATGTAACACCATTTTGATGTCACCTCACATGTAACATCACCAATGGTGTTATAACACCAAATAGAGAAATAGTCACCATGTTTCATCTTGTTATAACACAAACTTTTTTCCATTTTATAATTTTTTTTTCAATTTTTTTTTTAATTTAAACAAATACTTTTTAAATATAACATAATAAATAAAACATAATGTTTAAAAATTATAAATAACATATAATAAAAACAATTTTTAAAGATTAAAAATAACAAGGAAATTAAATTACACATAACATCCATATTCAAAAAAAAAATACAACTCTATTCGTTAAAAAAACATTTTTTTTAAAACTAAACGCTATTCGTTATCGTTATTGTTACAATATAAGATATAATCTGCCAAGTCCTCTCGAAGTTGTCTGTGTTTATTTGCGTCCTGAATGTCAACGACTCGATGCAAATACACGGTTGTTCCTGGTTGAAACTGAACGTGTCTGGGCTCCGTTGGGATATAGTGTGCAATATTTCGCCCTTTATCTTCTACTATCATGTTATGCATTATGATACATGCATACATGATATATCGTAGAGTTTCTAAATCCAATGGTCATGCTTGCATGTTCAACTATATGCCACTTCGCCTTCAGCACTCCAAAAACACGTTTCACATCCTTACGTGCTCCTTCTTTTCTTCTCTTAAAAAATTTGTCTCGTTCTTCAACCGGGTGGCGGAATGCCTTCACGAATGTGGAATACTAAGGATATATTTCATGTGTAAGGTAATACCCATATTTGTATTCGTTTCCATTCACCGTGAAAGGAGCATCCGGGGCCTTTCCATTCAAAAGATCGTCGAATATTGGCGACTAATCAAGAACGTTGACGTCGTTGTTGGAACCCGCAACCCCAAAAAATGCATGTCAAATCCATAAATCTTGAGAAGCAACAGCCTCTAAAACCAACGAAGGTGATCCGTGATGACCACTTACGTATTGCCATTTCCATTCTACCAGACAATTTTTCCATTTCCAGTGTGTGCAATCAATGCCTCCGATCATTCCGGGAAACCCATGGCGTTCTTCATGCGCCGCATACAATTCTTGCAAATCATGCAACGTAGGTTTCCGCAAATACACGTCTCCAAATGTTTCAACAACACCCCTTGACAATGTATACAAACTCTCCCTTGCGGTTCTTTCGGACATTCTCATATAGTTGTCATTGGTGTCAGGTGACTCCCCCATAGCCATCAAACAAATGGCCGTACCACATTTCTGCAACGTTGTAAACCCTCGTCTACCTCTAGCATCATATCTCAATTAAAAAAATTCATACCTAAACATAAATTAACTACAGTTTAAAAATATATTGCATTTGTTGTAAAATTAAAGAAACATGTACTAGATTTTTATTTATTTTGTATAAAAGTATAGTAAATAAGCGATACCGGCTTTCCAAGGCGTTGGCGATCCGTAGGAACACATTTCTACTCAAACGAAATCTTCTTTTAAAGTCGTTCGACCCATATACACAATTATCCGCAAAGTAATCGCGATCTAGATGTTCGTGTCCTTCCTCGCGATTTCTGTTTAACATCGCACGTCTTGTTAGTAGCGGGGTTGGGCCTGGTTGTAGCAAGTCGGTAGTGTAATAATGATACATCATCCTGAAGAAAATATCGTCATCTGAATCACCGGACGAGTCGAAAGGGTCCATATTTTTTTTGAAGATAATTGAAAGTGTGTAAAGAGAAGAAGAGAAATTGTGTGAAATTTTTTATAAAATGGTAGGTATTTATAGGGTAAATGATTTTTTTTAATAGTTATTTTTTTTATAAAAGAACCGTTGCCAAACGGTTAGTGAATGAAACGTTTGAAAATGGTGTCGTTTCTTCCAGTTGTGACGCAAACGAGTTTCGCCCTCAACGAGCAAAAACGAGAAGGAGGGGGGGGGGGGGGGGCGGTGTTCCCCCCGTCACGACGCCGTTAAGGCTTGCCACGTCCGCACAACGAGCACGAGAAGTGCCCATAACGTCTCGTCTAATGAATGTGGGAGTTTAATACCCATTCAACGGTGTCACTGAAATTGCTTTTTTTTTTCTTTTTTTTTTCTTTTTTCTTTCTCAATTTAATATAACAATTATATTGAAAGTAAAATTTGATTTTTTCTTTTTTTCTTTTTTGCAATAAACAAACCATATATATATATATATATATATATATATATATATATATATATATATATATATATATTTGTTGGTGGAATTTTTCATACTTTTTATTTTCTTTTTTAATCGGTAACTTTTAATTTCTAAATTGTAATCTTTAATTAATATTTAGTAATTGTAACTTTGAATTTTTAATTAATGTAATATTCTAGTTTTATCTATTAATATTATTTATAAAAAAATATAATAAAATGCTGATGTGACAATCCATTGAACTCTTAAGATTTTAATAGAATGTAGAGTTTAATAGATAAAATTGTATAGTTAGTGTGTCAATCCATTAAACTCTTAAGAGTTCAATACATTGGAGATGACCTTATAAAGAATCAAATTTCATTATCGATCAAGAGTCCACAATCACAAATAACTCTATCAAGGTATTTATGTACCACATAGTTAAAGTCAGTTTTTTAAAAGTTCTTCTATTGTTTTGAGTATTAATTTTAAGATCAACTTTTGGATTTCGCATTGATTTTAAGGGATTTCGTATTTGAACAAGAAGGAGATGAAGAAATAAATAAGACCAGGGTAAAATAAACATTTTTCAATATTCATGGACCAAAAATGAAAAATCAATTAAAATAAGAGACCAAATATATAATTTACTCTATATTTAATTGCTCAAATGGAAAAGTCAACTTTTAATTAATAGGTGCAAACTGGACAGTCTATAAAACGACATTTTCTATTTATCAAAAACATGTAGCATCTCCAAGTTGCTTCTATATATCTCCTGTTTTGTTATTATTTATCATCGGTCAATTTCAAAACCCATCAATCCAACATGATTCATTTATTAACTGCGGCTGTCTTCGCGATTCTCAGTTTTTCATCTTTAGTTTGGTCTCAAACACTCACCAATTCCACCTCTTGTCCCATGGATTTCAACTACGTCCGCCAAATCCAGTGGCCAACCGCCGACTGCCGCCCCTCCGGCGACCCAACCAAAACCATCACCAATTCCACTAATTGTTGTCAAACACTGCTTAGCGTCTTCGGCATCAGTTTAGCTCAACACCTCAAAGACACCTCTCAATTTCATCTCCGTGATCTCAAAACGTCCTCGTCTTGTCTCTCGGATTTTCAGAAGAAACTCACCTCTCTTTCCCTCCCCAGTAATCTCGTTTCCTCTTGTTTTGACCCTATGCAGTTTGTCATTTCGTTGAATACCTGTGCTGGAATTCAGACCCTCCAAGATTGGCGCCAAAAGTTGGGGAATGAAACAATTCTTGATTCTTCGTGTCGGGATGATCTCTCTGATCTTACTGCCTGTGATGCTTGTGGTTATGCTGCGTTAACGGTTCAAAAAGAACTCGTGTCGATAGATGGTAACGCTTCTCATTCAAATAACTGTTTTTACTTCATTGTTCTTTATGGTGCTGGTATACTCAATGAGTTCGGGCCTGAAAGTAATTCTGCTGTAACTTGTAACTTTGATATTAACATTCTACCTAAATCCCATAAAAATGGTCGTTCCTCTTTGATATATGGATTGGTTGGAGGACTTGTTGCCGTGGTAGTAATCTTTTGTTTGGTGGGGTTATGCTTTTGGTGGGATAGGAAGAAGAAAAAGCAAAAGATCGGTGAATCAGGAACTAATCCATTTGAATCACGTTTGCCAAGACGACGTCCAAACACTGGTTCTGTATGGTTCAAGCTTTCTGACCTTGAGAAGGCAACCAATAACTTCTCCATAAACAATTTAATCGGTAGAGGTGGATTCGGGGTTGTTTATAAGGGTGTTTTGTCTGATGGATCTGTGGTTGCTGTTAAACAGCTTATAGAATCAGAGTTTGAAAGGACGGATGACTTTTGTAACGAAGTTGAGATCATTAACACTTTGAGGCATCGAAATCTTGTTCCACTTATCGGGTGTTGTATTCGTGGTGAAGATGGGGATTACGAGAGGAGAGATGATCAAAGATTCCTTATCTATGAATACATGTCGAATGGGAATCTTGACGACCATTTGTTTTCATCGATGAGTGAAAAACCACGATTGACATGGTCTCAAAGAAAGAACATAATCTTGGATGTGGCTAAAGGTTTAGCTTATCTTCACTATGGAGTGAAGCCTGCCATTTATCATAGAGACATCAAACCTACAAATATACTTCTAGATGCCAATATGAGAGCTCGAGTGGCAGATTTCGGATTAGCCAAGCAAAGTAGAGAAGGGCAATCACATCTGACCACTAGAGTTGCGGGAACCCATGGATATTTAGCGCCAGAATATGCCATCTACGGCCAATTGACTGAGAAAAGCGACGTCTACAGCTTTGGGATTGTGATATTGGAGATTATGTGCCGGAGAAAAGCTCTCGACTTGTCTTGCTTAGACTCGCATCTTTTGATTACTGACTGGGCTTGGTCACTTACAAAGGAAGGGAATGTCGGGCTGGTTTTGGATCATTCGTTGGGAGATGCCATGAGTTCGGAGACTATGAACCCTACAGGGGATATGGTGAGATTTGTGCTTGTTGGAATTTTGTGTGCTCATGCAACTGTTGCTTTTAGGCCTACAATTATGGAGGCATTAAAGATGTTGGAAGGAGATATTGAAGTGCCGGTTATTCCTGATCGACCTATTAGCACGTATTCTATTTAGGCCCATGTTTTGCTTTGTATTTGTATTGGGATGTATTTGTCCTACTTTGTATTGTATTGTGATGTATTTGCCCGGCCCATGTATTTTGTATGTTATGTATATATTATGTACCTAGTGAGATTTGGAATTGATACTTGTACCTAGTGAGAATTGGAATTGATATTTGAAAATACGCTTTGTAACATGGTATCCAGGGCCGGTCCATTGAATTTCAATGCCCGGGGCCAGAAAGTAAAATAATGCCCTAACATTTCTCAACAAAATAATATAGGAAAAGTGAAATAAATTTTATAGTCAAACTAAATGATAGTTGTACAAACAAAAGCATACAAACGGTGCCATTTTACATTTTTTGAAGAAAAACATATTTTATTTGATGATAAGCAAGACTTCATAGAAATTGACTTTCAATACTTCTTTCCGCCGAAGTTAGCTATCCAGAACCAAAACCTATACAAAAAACATAAAATGGTCTTGCAGAAATGGAGAATCAACATCATATTTTCTAAAATCTGATACATCAAAGGTTTCAGAAATTAAAATAACTTATCAGATTTTGAGACATATCTGAATTTCATATACATCAGATTATTCAAAAAAAAACATATCACATTATTCAGATATAAAAAAAACTAATTAGTTGTTCAAAAACAGATTTCACATGACATCAGAATTTACATAACAGATTTTCAGAAATCTGATACATCATATTTTAAGAAATTAAAATAACTTATCAAATTTTGAGATACATCAGATCTTCATATACATCAAATTATTCAAAAAAAACTATATCATATTATTAAAAAAAAACAGAATACATCAAAATTTCAATACCAAAAACACATCATACTATTCAGAAAAAACAGTTACATCAGAAATTTAAGAAAATCTCATTAGAAAAAACCTTATAAAAGTCAAAAGAAGTCGAAGGAAAAAATTACCTCAAAAAATTACCTGGAAAATTGCTTAGTGTAATCCAGGATGAACAACACTCCAAGTCTGCAATCTTGGATAAAAAATTTCACTTTTCCAGGAAGCTATATAAAAAAACTGAAATTTCAAAAAATTTAACCAATACTCACTATCAGATTTTCGAAACATCAAGTATTGTTATGCAAGAAATTTGAAATACTAGAGAAAACTTACTGGATTAGGACCTTAGGAGGACGAATTCATTCAATCACTGTATCGCACCTTTGAATCTTCACTTTAAGTCTTTAGCACAACAGAATTAGAGCAATAGATAAACTATTACTGCAGTAGGGACGATTCAGTAGAGGACGATTAAGAATATAGGAGAAGGCCAGAAGCGATCGATTTATCGAGAGAGAGAGAGAGAGAGAGGGCAAGAGAAGTGCTGAACTGCTGAAGCAGTGAAGCGGATGAGACAGTGGGGCAGTAGGTGATCGATGCAGAAGGACGCCTCGTGTTCTTCATCTTCAATTATTAGATGTTTAGATCGAAGAGTCAGAATTGGTTGTAGTTGCCGCTATTAGGTCTCCAAGAATCTGCTGCCCTTACGTCTTGAACGGGATGGATCTTTACTGTACTAGTCTTCTCAACATGGCCCAAATATACAATAATACCTATAAGAGGCTTTGAAAAATTGCTGCCCCATTAGAAATTGCTGCCCTGGGCCGTGGCCCAGCTCGCCCTGGGCTTGGGCCGACCCTAATGGTATCAAAGCTATAATAACTCTCTCTCTCTCTCTCTCTCTCCCCCTTCATTTCTTCCTTTGTCGACTTCTCTCTTTGCCTCTAATCCTAGTTGTCATTACCTTCATCACAAATGGTGATGCACTGCCACCAACAAACCCTTTTTTATTACCAACATCAAAGTGTGCGTACCTCTTACACTTGATCTTGATGAACTGAACTATGACGCATGGTGCAAACTCACTGAGACTAACTATTATGTGTTCTTGACCATTTCTTGATCGTACCCTCGGAAATCCCTCTTATTCATGAAAGTAGCTTGACTCACTTGTCAAGTTGTGGATCTATGGAACCATCTGGAAGTCTGCCTATCTCTTTTTGGCGATGGTTCACCCATATCCTTCACCCATGTGTTATGGTCGGTTGGGTTGAGACGGTCATGCTTTGTGTTGAAGGCCAAGATACCCAGGGTGGTCCGGATAGACTGACGGCATGCAAGGCGGTCCAGTCAGGCTGAAGGCCCGGAGAGCGGTCCAGATAGGTTCTGGGCCCGGCGCGACGGTCCAGTCATGTTGAAGGCTCTGAGAGCGGTTCAGATAGTCTGTAGGCCTAGTGTGGCGGTCCAGTCAGGCTGAAAGCTCATGTATGCATGTTATTATTTGTATGGTTGTGTGTGGTACTTTGGGGGAACTCACTAAGCTTTGGCTTACGGTTTAAGTTTATGTTTCAGGTACTTTAGATGATCGAGACAAGGCGAAGACATGATTGTACACATCCTTTGGTGTTATGTTTTAGAGATTTATGATACATTGGTCTTGGGAATATTTGTATTTTGATACTTGATTTTGATATGGGTTTTCTTAAAAACAATGACTTCCTTTAAATTAAAAATAAAAAAGTTTATCGTGTTTTTGGGATGTTACAAGTTGGTATCAGAGCCCTGGTTTGAGAGAATACGTGAGCATCTGTATGTATCCAGACTCAAACTAAGGATCCGTAAAAGTTTTCAAAATAAATTCCCAAAATTGTTTTAAAAAGTAACCAGAGAAGGATGCAATGTGTACCATCAACCGGAGCAGAAAGTATACCCAAGTTACCCACAATATTATTTGTTTATGATGATTATGATACAACTGCATGCTAGTGACAGGCTAAGGATCTTCAAGAATTTCATGATAGAATTGCCTGACGTATGATGTATGATAGCCTAGGAGGACTTCTTGTATGAAATTGACATCATTACTATAGTTGCTTATTGTGTGCATCATAGTTATACATAACTAATATTTTATAGTCTGAGAATGTTTGGTTTGGCCTTACTACCTGTTCCTTGTCTGGTTGTGGTATTAGGGTAGAGTCAAGTATTCGATTTTCTATAGGATCTAGTGTTATGTATGATTAGCATACATGAGTGGCTGCAGGGTTGGTGGAAGTTTCATGAATGAGTATATTTGTGAGCAACTGACCATGTGAGGAATGTTTAGTCACTCCCGATAGAGTGAGATAGGATGTATGCATATCATGGTTGTTATACTTGTTTTGGGCAGTTTGTGATGATCTTTGAGACAAATACAGGTACGTATGGAAGGGAGTATGGGCCCGTACTACTGGGAGCACAGGACCCGTACATGTAAAAAGGAAGTCACAAACCCCATGGGTTCAGTTGTTGGGATGGTAATGATGGTATGACTATGGTATTTCTAATATATTATGGTTTATTTTCAATATGGTATTCACGAGGGGATCAGGTTTTGGATCTGGAGCAAGTGGCTAGGATAGGGCGGGATTGACTGGTGATCAGATATAAGAGATGATTATCGTTGAGGTGGCTAGTGCTATCCGAGGATCTATCCCGGAGTTGTTTGGGTCTATTAAGACAGCTATCATTGAGGTCTTTGGTGATCGTTTATCTTTCACTTTCGGAGGTTGTTGTTGCTGCAGCTACCGTGGTTGTTGTTGCTGTAGGGGTTCGAGGGGAGAGAGCTTTCCAGTACCGGGACTTCGACAATACAAAGCCGCCGGAGTTTGATGGGGTCAAGGACCCGATTGTGGTGATGAGATGGTTGTCTGATATGGAGGGTTGTTTCTTCACATGTTCTTCTGTGTATGACCAGAAGGTCAAGTGCGACCTGAACCTTCTCATGTTAGTAGCGAAGGATTAGTGGAGACTGGTGACTAGTGCTTACACTCCTGAGTAGAGAGCTGCTATTACTTAGGAGTAGTTCTCGGAGATGTTCCGCTCAAGATACATTCCTTTAGTGGAGAGGGGGAGGTTGGATCGAGAGTATTTAGATTTGAGCCAGACTTCGGAGACGGTGACGGAGATCACCAAGATGTTTACTAAGAGGGCTCTTTTATGCCTTGAGTTTACTGCTTCGAAGTAGGCTCAGATGACCCGGTACTTGAGCATGCTCAAGATGAATATTCGACAGTTTGTGTCTACCCATCGATATGGTACCCTCGCTGAGTTCTAGGAGGCTGCAAAGAGGCGAGAGATTGAGATTGAGACACAGACGAGGGAGCAGCTTCAGGCTCCGATTCAGTCCCAGCCTGTGGCGAAGCAGTTCAAACCCGCCAAGTCACGATCAGGCTTGTCGAAAGTGCGGCAAGGTTTATGATGGGGATTGTCAATCTTCTTCTACTGGTTGCCACAAATGTGGCAAGGAGGGGCACTATGCGAGGGATTGCCGTCAGCAGGCCCCACATGTGGGTCCAAGGATTTGTTACCATTGCGAGCAGGTGGGACATGTAAAGGCCTATTGTCCCTTACTTTCCGTCAGGCCTATGCATTCACCGGCCACTTCTACTCCTAGGATCACGAATGGACGCCAGGGTAGCGCGAAGCCCTTGAGGGCTCGGGGTCTTGCTTTCCAGCTTATGACAGAGGAGGCCAGGGTGGCGCCAGACGTCGTTACTGGTATGTTTCTATTTATTATTATATCAATATATTTTATTGTATGCTTATGATTGTATTCATGTTAGGTACATTCTTAGTGAACAACTTGCTTGCACTTGTGTTATTTGACTTGGGTGCGAGTCGGTCTTTTGTATCTCTGTCTTTCAGTATGGGCTTCGATATGACTCTGGGAGATTTGGAGTGTCCGTTGCGGGTTTTTATCACCAACGAACATGGGGTTTGGGCATCGAGTGTTTATCTGGGTTGTGTCTTGGAGATTTTTGGAGTGCCTTATCTAATTGATTTGATTCCCATTCCCATGGGGGATGTGTGCGTGATAGTAGGGATGGATTGGTTGAGCAGGTTTGGTGTTATGATTGACTGTGAGGGTCAGCGGGTGGTAGTTTAAACCCTAAGTGGGGAGAACTGGTTATTTATGGAGAGGGTAC